CCGCGGCCGCGTAGCCGTTCGCGGCGGTGTCCACGCCGCCGCCGCCCGGCGCTCTTCTCGCTCGGGAAGCTGCAGGCGCACGTGTCCCCCGGGGCGGGGCGAGGCAGACAATGGGGCGGCGGGGGGAGGGGAGTGGCGCCGAGACCCGCAGACCTCTGGTTAACCTAGCCGGTGGGACTCGAGTACGGGAGTCGCTGCGGGGAGAGCGGTTCTCCCTGGCCGGACAATGGGACCTCCCGGGGCCCCGCGCCCGCGCAGCTTCACTTTCGCGAAAACCTTGGGCGGAGGGAGGGGTTCCCGTGGCTCGGAGGAGGAAACCCTGGCTGCTTTTAGGAGGAACGGGGCTCGTTCCAGCGGACCCAGAAGCGACTCCGGCCGTGGGATGATACGAAGGCCAGATTTGGAAGCGAAACCGCCGGGTGGTGAAGAGTTGTGCAATAGTCTGTTTCAGTCCCTGGCCTTTTAAGCAGTTAAGGGCTTCCTCATAGCACAGTTTGAGCAACTTGAAGTAGCACAAAGCTGTGTGGTTAGGGCAACTGTGAGGAACATATCTGTGTTTCTTTTTAAAAATCTTAGCAACTAAATGTTACGTGAAGTGACATTTCCTTTGTAGCCGTTTACTAGTACAAGAAAGACAAGACAAAGACGTTAGAATTTCAGTCGCGGTATGGATACTAACTTTATCCAATTCAACTGTAATCTAATAGTGTCCTTTTTATTGAAAAGCTTTTTAAGAGCTCACTGGTTCCCGAAATAAGCTCTATGCTGTGACAACAAATCAGTGGTTCGAGGAAAAGTTAGATGAATACTCTTCAAAGTGATTAAGCACATAAAATGCTAGATTATTTTCCATAGGTAGCTGGAAATAGGAAATATTTGACCAAAGTACTATCTAGCCTATCTGTTCAGCAAGGATCTGACATCTCCGCTACCTAAAAATCCCTTACTATTAAACATATCTGCTATGGTATGCAGCTAATTCAGCAACAAGGATTTTAGCTCCTAATCCAAAGGTAGATAATCTTATAAATGAAAAACAACCCACATATTTACTACAAAAATAAAAAATGAGTAATCTTAGGAATTAAAGAATGAAAATAATGCATCTGAACCATCCAACGCTTTTTTTAGACCTTCGTGGTGATGGACATTCCTTAAAAAAAAAAAAAAAAAAAAGCCTTTACCTAGGCAATGTGCTCTACCAAATAACCAAGACTCCCAAATTAAAATCTCTAGCTCTTCTCTGACCTCTGATTCCTTTGTCTAACCACCCCTGGACCTTTATGTGGGTTTTCAGGCCCTCCAAAACATTTCAAAACTGAGCACATGTTCTCCCCCCAGCCACCCACCCAATCTTCTATATCCAGAGTTCCCATCTTCATGAACATCGATCATTTGCATCCAGCAGCATTAGCTGGAAACTAAAGAGAAATCCAAGACACCACTTTCTCCCTCTCAAAACCTTGTCAGTTAACCAAAATCTTGCCAGTTTTGTGTTCTAATGTATCTCCACTTCTCTATATATTGCAGCCAGAGGACAAGTCACCATCAACTACCACCTGGACTAATGATCTATAGCTTCTTGATCCGTTCATCCACCTTGCAGCTCTCCTAATCCATTCAAAGCCCAAGTGTCTTCCCCCACCCTCACTTCTCTTTTCATTGCAAATAAGACCCTGTGGAGCATCTGCTTAAAACCCTTCATTAGTTTCCCATTACACTTAGAACAAAAGCAAAAATCTTTAACTAGATCAACAAAGCCCTCTATGATCTGTTCAACCTGTCTCCTCAGCCACATTTCAGCCACTCTTCCAGCTTTGGCTGGCCTTCTTTCGATTCTGACACTTTTCAGGTTTGTACACACTGAGGACCTACACAGAGAAGTGACTGATCCCCTAACCAGGCCTGAGAAAAAAGCAATCAGCCATGCTCTCCATTTGACACCTTTTTCAGTGAAGCAATAGTGTAATTTTCTTCCTGATCTACAGAACTTATTCCAGGCTTGACTCCAAGAATTACTACTACTGAAACATAGGAATCCCTAATAATACCAAATAACACAATAAAACAAAGCAAAACAAAAAACCTACTAGATTGATTTGGTATAGTAGATACATGGGGCTAGATTAAAATGTATATGAAAGATCTGCCACAAGAAAGTGCTCAATAAGTATGTCTCCCTACTTGCTGAATCTTCTCTAGTACTTAGCACAGAATGTTTACTAAATATTTGCTGAATAAAACCAAAGAACAATAAAAGCTGAGACCCAAACAACCTTGATTCCAATATCAGATCTGCTACTCATGGAGAGTGAGGTTGAATAAATCATTTTACTTCTCAGAATTTCTATTTCCCCATCTATTAAAGAAGTTCATTGAGGGGCACCTGGGTGGCATCAGTTAAGCATCTGACTCTTGATTTAGGCTCAGACCATGATCTCATAAGTTTGTGAGATCCAGCCCCATGTCAGGCTCTGAACTGACAGCACAGAGCCTGCTTGGGATTCTCTGTCTCCCTGTCTCTCTGATCCTCCCCATCTCATGCATGCTTCCTCTCTCTCTCTCTCTCTCTCTCTCTCTCTCTCTCTCTCTCAAAATAAATAAAACATTTAAAAAAATTAAAAGAAGTTCATTGAAACAGATACTTTTTAAGATCTCTTCTAGCTCAAACATTTTATAATGTATAAAAAAAAAATCTCCAGGGCACCTGGGTGGCTCAGTCAGTTGAGTGTCTGACTTAGGCTCAGTTCATGATCTCACAGTTGGTTCGTGAGTTCGAGCCCCACATTGGGCTCTGTGCTGACAGTTCACAGCCTGGAAACTGCTTCAGATTCTGTGTCTCAGTCTCTGCCCCACCCCACTCATGCTCTGTCTCTCTCAAAAATAAACATAAAAAAAATTTTTTTTTTAAATTCTCAAACTCTTTCTCTGACTTCTCACTGCTTTAAAAATATTCACATGTCCTATCTGCCATTTAGGATCTTCCCCATTTGAATCCCAACTTCCCTTTATAGCAAAATAGCCTGCTACTCCCCTTATATGGACCCCTTTTCCAAACAAAATAAACAGCAAAGAAAACAAAGATTGATAATATCTGATTGGAATATCATCCCTAGTGTAGATGTGGAGAACTCAACACACTCACTGTTAGTGAGAAGACAAATTGATATAACTTATAGAAAGTAATTTGCCTATAATGCTTATTGCACTATTGTTTTTAATCCTGTACATAAGTGTGT